AAAAAGAGTTGACCCTATATAAATCTTCCCCATTCACAAATACATACTCACCCTTTGGGGAACATAGAGACAAGAACAAGGACAATCAAATCAAGACCTTGGTTCCTCTAAATGAAAAAGCCTTTTTTAGAGAACATTTTCACATAAATGAGAATGCACCTTAAACAGGTTTTAAGTTAGAGCTCAAAACAATGTGTCAGCTACAGTACTACCTTCTTGAGCAGACTCTGTATCTCCTTGTTTCTTTTATCTAATTCCCATCCCTCTACATCCAAAATATAAACTTAAACATTAAGTTTGTTCAGGAACAAGTCACTAACAGCCTCTCTAGAAAAGAATGAAATAGGGTGCCTGGGTGGCGCAGTCGGTTAAGCGTCCGACTTCAGCCAGGTCACGATCTCACGGTCCGTGAGTTCGAGCCCCGCATCAGGCTCTGGGCTGATGGCTCAGGGCCTGGAGCCTGTTTCCGATTCTGTGTCTCCCTCTCTCTCTGCCCCTCCCCCGTTCATGCTCTGTCTCTCTCTGTCCGAAAAGTAAATAAAAAACGTTGAAAAAAAAAATTTAAAAAAAAAAAAAGAAAAGAATGAAATGGTCAAATGAAGTTGTACATGCTGACTGGTCCTTCCTTGCTCTAATCCAAAACATGTACTTTAATACAGTTTTTTAAAATTTATTAACGTAGCTAAATATCAAGACATACCTCGATTACAACATTTATGTAGTTAACTTTCACAAAATTGGAACATAGCATTATCCATACCATAACTCCATAAATTGAGTTTTTTTGTTTTAGCCAGAATTCAATAAAATATGGACTCAATAGGCTTTTCGAACAACATGTATATGCAGAACAAACTCATGGTTACCAGAGGGGAGGGGGGATTGGCAAATTGGGGGAAAGGGAATGGGAAATACAGTCTTCCAGATATAGAGTAAGTTACAGGAATAAAAGGTATATACAGCACAGGGAATATATGCAATGCTATTGTAATAGTGCTGTATGGGGACAGATGGTAACACTTGTAGTGAGCAAAGCATAATGTATAAAATTATCAAGAATCATTATATTATACACCTGAAACTAATGTCACATTATGTGTCAACTACACTTAGACAGCAACAAATTTTTTTACAAATGTATATGCTTACTGACAGAGGAGAGAGTTAAGATGAAGTATTCAACACAAGAGTAAAACATAAAATTTCAATGCCTATAAGTATATCCTTTAATCTAGTATTTATACAAATATTTTTATTTAAAAAGTAATCATCTGAATGAAAAAGGCATTTAAATTCAGTTTTCTGAGGGCCAAAGAAGAAAAAAGTATACTAAAATGGGGTCAGCAAAATTTTTCCATAAAGGGCCAAGAAGGAAATATGTTAGGTTGGGTAGGCTACATGGTCTCAGTTCTAACTATTCAACTCTGCCATTGTCTCATGACAGTAGCTACAGGCTGTGTTCCAATAAAACTTTATTTATAAAACAAGGTGGCCAACTGGTAGTCTGCCAACTCCTATACAAAAACAGATATCCTATCATGACAATGTTTATGTGCACAGCTTTGATGCAAGGCTGATGTGAGACATGTTACTCTAAATGACTATTCTCCCACAATAATTTCTTTTTGGTTACGAGGCTAAAGTATCACCTGCATTTAAAAAACAGAAAGCAGAGGTGCCTGAGTGCTCAGTTGGTTAAGTGTTCCACTCTTGATTTCAGCTCAGGCCATGATCTCAGTTTGTGGGATCGAGCCCCACATCAGGCTCCAGGCCAACAGCACGGAGCCTTCTTGGGATTCTCTCTCCCCCCCATTCTCTGCCTCTCCCCCGCTCCTTCCCCCCTCCAATAAATAAACTTAAAAAAAAAAATCTAAAAAACAAAAACCTATGTGTGCTAAAAAAAAGTTATGATTTGAGAGAAAAACTGATCTCTGTACAATCTCTATGACAAGAGACAGAAAATCTACAGGAAAGGGGGGAGGGAGGAAGGGAGCTGGAAGAATGTAGAGAAGCAAGGTAAACAATATTGTCCCATAATCTGTATTCTCATAATTATTTGCAAAAGTTGTTAACATTCAGAGTGTAACATTTGTGGCCTCAAGAAGCTCAGGACATAAAAGAACAAACTTATCTTTTGCCTCTGTACTCTGAAACCTTCAACATTAAGGGCAGATGGGATTATAACCATATATTTTAAAAGATGCTCAAAACCTAGGCTTCAACATTTTTAATGAAGACTTACACTTTTATAAACAGAAAAGACTTCACAAAATAAAATTCTATCCAGAATTCTATTTTTTGTATTCTTTTTCTGTATCAACTCTGCATTTCTATCAGTAACTATGGCTTACTATGGGCACACAGCCTCTTAAAAGTATTTGTCAGAACCTTGTTGGGGATGGTAGTTCTGAACTGGAAAAATCCTTAGATGGTTCTGATTCCTCCCTCCCTTCCTTCCCCACCCTGCAATCCATATTCCAAGAAACCCTTCTTTATAGCACAATCGTCTCTCAAAATACACAAAGGCAGATTTCTCACTGACAAAGCAGAATCCTGAACCTTAAAATATACTAAAAGTAATGAATCTGTGTGCCTTCCTACACGGTAGGCTCTATCATCAAAAGGTTAAGTTTGTGTAGAAAAAAAAAAGTCCATGTATGCAAGCAAGAATTAACTACACCTTTATGCCCAGGTCCAGGTCCATGATTAATTAGAAAAATGAATTTACTTCAATAAGGAATAAACTTCTAGGCAAAATTATAGTTACTTAAACTTTAACAAGTTTAAGAACTGAAAAGCATGTTCCACATTGTGGAAATAAAAGCACTCCTAACCAGGAACTATATTTAAGATTTTCTCAAGAAAAAATCCAAGGGATTTTTAGTAATTTTAAGCTAATTTTAAGCTAATGAGCTTAAGTCACCGTAGATGGTATATAAATGTATGTGTCCAGTTATGTTCCCATAAAACTTTACAAACATAGTCAGTATAGAACTTTACCTTCAGGCAGAACTTTGCCAAAACCCTGCTCGAAACAGCCTTGTTTTAAAACCAGTATTAATTAGATACTAGAAGACTGCAGAATTCAAGAGCTATACTATCTACATAAAATTGCTCCGCTCTATCAAGTTTCTTCTACCTGACATGAAAAGTGCTACAAACAGTGAGATGTCAAAACTGCTGACAGGAAAGGGAAGAAAGGTCAATATGTTAACAAAACCTATTTCCTAGACAATCAACTGCATTTAGATCATTCATTCAACAAACATTTGTTTAGGACACATGGTTCCCTGGCCTTCAAGGTCTCTCAGGAAGACAACACATGCATACAAACAACTACTACTCATGCCAGCTAAGTGCTACATGATGGTAGAAGTAACTACTAGTATCTGAAAAATGCTTCATGGTTTAACATGTTTCCATATATGCTTCTTCATAAAGCCTCATAGCCCTGTAAAGTATGTAAGTCACTTGGTATTGTTCTCATTTTACATAAACCTCCTAAGTAGTAAAACTAGGATATGTACCTCTGACACTACTGCACTACACTTCTTCAGAGCAGCTTTATGCTAGGGGTCGATGACAGAGGTGGAGGCATTTGGACTGAGCCTCAAAGAATGAGCAGGATTTTGACAGGTGAAGAGACCAAAGTATTACAAAGAAATGATATACACAGAAGTCTAGAAGCAGGGAAATACAACATGTGAAAAACAGGCAAGGGAAATATGGCTAAAGACGGGTTGAAAGCATGAGGAGAGCTTTAAGTACGTGATTTAGCATCTGTACAAGACACTATAGGCTATCAGAAATCGGATGGTTTGGGAGAGAGAAGGAAGAAAAGAACATAAATGAAGCTCTTACTATGTGTTTGGTACTTTGCAAAAGAATTGCCTCATATGCAGGGATTTTTAAGTTATGAGGTAGTGTTATAGGGAGAGGAGACTTTCCTAAATCCTCTGCAGGACTGAAAAGATGGGACTAACAGAGGGGAAAGCAGTAGGCTACCTACCTCTGTAGTTTTGGCATGAGGAACAGAGAATGTAAAGTGATGGTTCTTACAGGTCCCCCACAGTACCTCACCCCCAAATTTAAACCCAGGTCTTGAATTACCTTAAATTTTCCTACATTTTATCTAAAACTTACCGAATCTTCTGGAGGTCTCTGGATTTTCCCCCAATCCACAGAAGGTCCCTTTTCTTGCAAAAATCGATGGAATAGCTTCCGAAATCCATCAAGGTCTTTTTTAGTGTGCTATGAAAATAGAAGTTCTTGTTACGATGAGCAGAATACTTAATTTTAATATAGATATGTATTATACATTTAAAACACCTTTCAATTAAATTATTACACTATTAGAACATGGAGTACAGCAGAGACTTTTTTATGCCCCCAACTTAAAAGTGAAGGGGAAGAAAAGCTAATAGGAACCACACTTAAAGGAATACAAGCAAATAATCCCCAAATCTTCCAGCAGTTATCATGTAAACAACACCATTTGGTCCATGGGAATTTCAATTGGTTCTCTACATTTATTTGCCAATACTTTTTTTCTACTTCTTTTAAGTGAAAATTCACTTTCACTGAAAGAAAAAGTAACAAAACACAGTTAACCTCAAAACATTAAGTACGAACTGAAATTTGAAAATGAAAAGGATGATCTATTGATTTATAAACAGAAAAGTAAAAATACCTGTCTACACTGGGAAATCTCTACACAGCTGACAAAGTAGCATGGTTCTATTAGAACTGGCTCTCTGGAAAAAGGCATGCAGGTTGTATGGTTGATAATTCTGAGTACTGTTACCCATTTTTTTACCCAATGATACTAGAACACACAAAAAATAATTTTTTGTTCTGATTCTTTAGACTTTAGAAACTTCCTAGAATTAAAAAAAAAGACAATGGTTTAACAATGGGAAAATGTTGAAAATCCTTAATTGTTAAGCAATCCTACTTTTTTTAATGCTATTATATTTTGTGCTTATTTCAGGCTGGATGATCAACAGCAGCAATAACAACTCAGCATTGTAGATGGATGGAAGCAAGAAACACTGCAGAGTCCTTACCTCAAACTCATGTGATGGCGCTGTGGTAAGTATTTTTTCCAGTTCCTTCTTCACAGATAATTCTAGCTCTTGTCGAATGACTTCTTGGAACTGAGAAGCACCATCCTGAGACATGGCTTTGCTAAGATCTTAAAAATATAAAATCGCCAACAGAAAAAAAATCAGACAGCCATTCAAATAGCTGGTAAGCTATAACTGATTTATTTCTAGTTGATCAGAACATGAAAAGGTTCACTCCTTTAGTCCCATTATCCTCTCGAAGGATATCAGTAGTGTCAACTAATTAGAGCTATATAATCACATGGCCTCAAATTTGTTACATCTACCTGCATTACTAGTGTATCTGAGACACTAATAAATGCTTTTGGGAAGATGGGGCAGGTGGGAATAAAAGGATTAATCTTCATTTGGGCATTTAGTTCTATCTCTACTAATGTTTCCCTCTTAGCCATCAAAGCTGGAGAAAAATGAGAGGTGGAATAATGTTAATAAAGGTATGTTTTATGGTACATGCTCTTATGGAACTGCTGCCAGATAAAAGAACGGAAAGGGCTTAGCAATTTCACAGAAACAAACAAACAAAAACAAAACAAAACAAAAAAAAAAAAAACCGTTCCCTTCCAGGCCAGATGAAAAAAAATTAAGGAATTCTTTCCATTTTAGAAGTGAAGCCCTCCAGTTTCACATTCCTTATTAAAGAAAAACCCGTTGAGAGATACTGGCAATTCCCAGGTGCCTGTATGTGTCTGCATCAAAATTTTCACTTAAAAGGAGAACACAGTGCTCCCTGCCCACTTATTGCCCTCAGTTTTAGCCTAGACTCTTCAGTGCTTATCTGTGTCAGACAATACTATCAGGGCTTTTGGCATAGATGGTCATCTCTGGCCACAGACGGATCTCACTACAGGTGACTCACTAAAGGTAACAGAAATGCCTGATGGACGTAAACAAGTAAAAACAGAAAAATACGCAACAAGAAAACATCCCAAGCCTAAGCACCTTGGGAGAAATATGCCAACACAAGTTGTTTTACATGCTCAGCTATCTAATTATCTTGTCTTTTACTTATGAAATAAGGAACAGTCAGACTACTGTTCACATCACCTTTTCTCTTCAATATGCAACTCAAACTTATTTTATAAATGTAGTTTTGAAGCTTATGTTCAAACATTTTGTTTGATAACTAGTTCTACAAATGGTGATTAATTTACCAGAATCATTTCAGTGAAACTAAAAATACTCACACACACCATAAATTCTTTTATTTGTTATCTGGGCAGAAGAAAACATTTATTCATACAGAATTAAAGCCAACATAACCAAAAAGATACTTGTGAGAGCATAAGTTAGTAAATTATGTAACTCCTGAAGCAATTTATTTAATGTAGACAGCTTCTCCTCCTAAATACCTACAAATGTTAACAAATGAGATATTTAACATTGCTCTTCAAAAACCTTTTAAAATACATTTCCTGTAATATTAAAATCCAAGGGAGGGGAAAAACAAGGAAATTAGGTGAGAACACACAATCTAATCCTAAAATAGCTGTTTTCTAACTGTGCCTTTTTTTTTTTTGAGAGAGAGAGAGAGAGAGAGAGAGAGAGAGAGAGAGAGAGAGAGAATGAGCAGGGGAGGGGCAGTGAGAGAGGGAGACAGAGAATCCCAAGCAGGCTCCCTGCTGTCAGTGCAGAGCCCCCGACGCCCATGAACTGCAAGATCATGACCTGAGTCAAAATCAAGAAGTCAGACGCTTAACCAAACGAGCCACCCTGGCACTCCTAACTGTGCTCTTTTCCTAGGCATAAACCACAACACAACTAAGTTTATGGACTCCAGTAAAACTTTAAAGTGACCCAAATAGTGGTTCATAAATAACTTCTTTGTGAGCTAAGAAACACACATGTGTGTTTCATAAACAACCTAAATGTATGTTTCCACTAGTAAGTAGCAACTTGATTATCATCTGTTCACAACTCCTAACAATGGATGAGTAGGTTTACATAACTATGATAGGTAACTAAAAAATTCCTGTAGAACATTTTAAACTAGAGTTAGTGTGACATCAACTATACACATTCACCTCTTGGTTGACTTAATTGCAATTTAAAATTTATCACAGGTTAAGTATCCCCCAACCCTGCTGCCCCAGCAGTTAAATGAGTTATCCAAGGTTACAGAACCAGCTAATTGCTGGAGCTCAGAAGCAGTATACCTGGGGTATCTCTCCCACAATCTTTAAGCCAACTCCCATGTTAATGTTTAAGAAATAATTTGCAAGAAAATTCTACTAAACATAAGCATAAAACCTCTAAATTAAGGAACACATGAATTTGATTCTGTGTCACTGATGGATTAAAATAGATCAAGAAATTTATAAGGATTTTTAAAATAAGGGTTTTTTGTTGGACTCAAAGACAGCTAACAACAGCCTTGCTGCTTTGTTGCTGAAGTTGTATCCTGAAAGCCAGTATTCAGTCACATTCCTAAAAAATTAGTGATGGAAACATTTAACCTATATTCTACGCAAATGCCAAAATGAGATAATTATAAGTGTAACCGTAAAGTTCAAAAATAATTATTAATAGCTGTTTGAGATTTGTCTACATGAGAACACGAAAACCAAACAAAACACCAAACAAAAAACCCCACCAAACTTTGGAGACTCCCTCTACAGAACAACAGCCTATCAATCTACATGATTTAAGGCCAAAACACACAGAACCCATGTCACTATCCTCCCTATGAAGCCAAGGTAAGAAAGGTTGGCTGAAAGACATTTAATAGTACATGTGATCTTTGCCAGGTGCAGCAGGTCCAAACTTAAGATAGGATTCAAAAAAAAAAAAAACCCAGATTCAAACTCAAATTCTAACAAATGTCTGTAAGAGTTATTCCTCCCTATTCTTCCATTTCTTTGATATAGCACCAAACACAAAGAACAATTTGTATTCCCTCCAGTCACTCTACAGATATGAACAGCTTACACAACAAAAGAATATTCTAAGGAGGCTATCACCTCTTCCACCCTGTTTCACTGCTGTTTCCAACACAATCCTCTGGGCAGTGCTACTACTGAAGTTTTGTTTTTTAGTGACTAAAGAATAAAGAAGGACTTGGGAATGCAAGCTGGTGCAGCCACTCTGGAAAACAGTATGGAGGTTCCTCAAAAAACTAAAAATAGAACTACCCTACGACCCACTAATTGCACTACTAGGCATTTACCCACGGGAGACAGGTGTGCTATTTCAAATTTTTTTTTTTCAACGTTTATTTATTTTTGGGACAG